TGCCGCCGCCTGGTCGGTAGGGAGCTGCCTCCGGCTGGGTGCGCAGAGCCAGCCCCCTGCTGCAGCAGGGCAGCCGCACGCTTGCTTGCTCCACTGGTAAGCCCAGGGTTCTGCTTTTTTAGTTTTATCTTACCTCGAATCTCGCTGGGACCGCTTACAGGCAGAGAGCGAAGCATCTGCGCAAGCGTTCGGAGGACCAAAGCCAGAATCTCACGGCCTTTGCTGCTTGTGACGAACTTAATTACCTGCTTCTGCAAGGGGGAAAAAAAAAAAAAAAAAGACATTCCTTTTTACGATTCACAACTCGTGTCCGGCACAGAGTCAGGCCCGTTATCGTGTTGAGCCGGTGTAACGGGCGTTGGCAGATGGGTATTCGCATATGGGATGGGTAGAGGAGAAATTACGCACAGCGGCAAAAAGCAAACAGTGAAATCGCAGAAGTTCGTTCTTTTTCCCGTAGGTCGAGGTTTACAGTTTTGGCTCGTGTTTAATGGAAACTTGCATTCTTGGAAATTGCGGCTTTTTTTCCGAAGTCTTAGGGTTTGCAGTAGGAAGGATAAACAGTACATCAACTTTATGAAAAGATCTAAATTTACATTTTAATGAAGCAAAGTGCAGAGATTTCGCTGTGTCACATTAACTGCTCCATGCCCGAGGAATGTGTGTGTGCACAGTAGGGAGGTTTCTGAATTTTTCTGTGTATCACTCAAGTGAATGACCTGTACAGTAGAAAATTTATACGGAACCTAATTCCTCACTTCTCTCTGTAAACTACAGAAAGAAAGAAACGCTTGACAAGCCTGCTGCACTCGGGCAGGTTTTAAGTGTATTCAGGCTTGGAAAATTTGAGAAAGTGCATTTTACAGGCAGTGTAATCCTCAGCTCGAAGATATCCACCCTGTCGAACACATGCACGTGCTCAGCTTTAAATAGATGAGTGATTCCTGGAAACTTTTCTAGCACTATCCTTTTCTAATGCCAGATATCCAGGAGACAGAAAAGACACAGGCGCAAAGCCCCAGTCGTAATAGGCAATTAGCTAAACATTTGTGTATGAAACTAACGTTAGGCAGATGACCAGCTCCAGCCCGAAAAATCAGGATCTAACCCAATTACCTTTAGGTTCTAACTAGACTCTGAGTTAAACACATAAAGTCACTTGGGTGGGTATCTGCAGGATAAGCGTCATTGGTGCCAGCTATGGCACGACGTAGTCTGCGCTCGGAGAAGTCAGGAGGTTACCCTGCTACAAATGGGGTGGCAGAGACTGGTCTTGGGGGCTGACTCATTTGTTTGATGCAGCCTCCAAAAGTGCATCTCGTTTGGGTGTAACTATTCAAAATAACAGATATAATACATATGCAAAAAAGTTCCTTTTCCTTTTTTTCCTTTTCCTTCTCCTTTTCCTCCTCCTTTTCCCCCTCCTTTCTTCCTTTTAGTTCCTATGAAGTATTTGCTCCATGCTAGGGCTAGAAACAAGATTGATGTTCCCCAGTATGGCTGCTAGATGCATCTCAAGAAAATAAAGAAATGCCTGGGAGCTGTATGGAAACCCCCCTCCTTTTTCATAAGATCCTTGAATGATATGATTTTGCTCCTGACACAAATTTACTCATGTCACATGCCCAATTGCACGGTTTCCTCTGAAGTTATTATTGAAATCCACAGCTTCGTAGACAGGGATGCAGAAACACCAAGAGATGTCACTTTTATTTAATTGCCACCTTAGAGCCAAGGCCGCTCAGCTGCCGGTGTGCTCCTTGCCCTATCCCTGCTGGCAGTGACTGGGGCTGTGTGACACAAAGTTAGCGTGTGGATTAGCAGCTAGTTTAGCAAAATGGATCAAAATCATCTTCGAGGGCAGGTGGGAGTGAGGGGGGACCTTCCTCAAGCTGGTCAGGTGGAACAGAAACTGCCGCCAGCACCGCTACTCTCAGAGACCCCTAGGACCTCTCAGCCCCACTTGCTCCCTGCTGACCTGCTGGAGGTTTCCTGTCCCTTCACTGGGCACCATGCAGAGCCCAGATTTTTTGTAGCTGAGATAGGAAGGGGTCCCGCCAAACACACACAAATAATCTTGGCACAACCCCACTGTGACCAAATAAAAGTTACTGATCGTTTTCCCCATCATCGTACGTTGGAAGAAAAGTGCTCACAAAATCCCATCTTTCCGTCTCCACCTGTTCAACACTGAAAGAGCTTCCCGCTCACAGGAGGAGGTGCCTTCCTCCTCTCTTACACCGGAGATTGGCTTTGAGGAAGCCTGCTGGGCCACGACCGCTGGGATGTGAAGATCAGAAGCACACGAACTATTCCCTCTCCCTGGTTAAACATTAGGAGACATGATTTTGAGCACAGCATCCATTTCCCAAGTTACAGTGTGTGAATATGCTCTGGAGAGTGACAGCTACTAAAAATGTTCCCCTTTGCCCTTTTAAATACTTGCTCGGTTGCCACATGCACATTTAAGCCTGGGATTTAAGTAATAGCTGGGAAAGTCTCCCAAAATGTCTCCTAACCCTTTTTGTAAGGAACATAGTGTCTGAGTGCTGTGAACACAGCCTTTTCAGGCAAAAAACGATCAGAATTGATGACAGGTTTGGGTCCAGTTTTATTACAACCCATCATGCATCTCCCTTCTTGCTGTTTCATTTCCCCTCCACCCACAAGAGTTACTGATATTCCCTTTACAATTATGCCTATCTAAAAAAGGATTAAATAATGTGCTTAGACATGAATCTGAAATTTCCAGATTATAGCTGTGTCCAGCCCTTTCAGAAAATCCTGCTTTGTAATAAGTTTTGTTTGAAATTCTAATCTTAGCTTAAAGATAGGATGACTTTGCAGGCGTCCAGAGATGTCATGCACTCAGCACGAGGCTTCCACAAAGACACAAAGCTGATAAGCCATATTCGGATAGCATGGATGAACTTTTCCCCAGCTGGACTGGCAGTAGATCCATCAAACATGAAAGAGCAGAAACTGCAAACTAAGGGCGTCTGTTACCCTGAACCAGCTTTTTTTTTTCTGTTTCATGCAAGAGCAGCAGGACAAAAATAGTCTTTATCATCAAAATACATGTAACTAGTGCCCCTCATCCAATATAACTAAGTTGCATAGTGAAGTTTGTAGATATTCTGTGGGTTTGCTGGCAGAGGGATTGTTTCCCCCCATTAAAACTATCTGCTTTGGAAACGATACACCTGCCTTGTTCAATGAAATCTGGTACTCTGACTTCTCTGTGCGAGTCGGGCTATGGGGTGCAGGCTGTCGACCCTCTGCAAAGATAGCAATATCTTGTCAGTTCTGTAAATCTCTGTTATGGTACTTACAGCACTGACAAACAGGGTCTGGTGCATTTGTCCCTGGGAGTTAAGTATTTCCTATCCCCCTGCGTGTAGTCGCCAGGTAGCAGATGGGGTGATATGTTGTGGTTTAGCTTCTGCAGTTCAGTGAGCTGAGGGTCATTGCTGGCCATGGCGAAGGTATCCCCTACCTTTGTATCTGCTCCCTGCCTAGCATGGGGAAGAAAGAGAGACCCACACCACCTTGGGTGAACTGTCTTAACTGGCAGCAGCTATATCCCCTAGAGCATGTCCTTAGCTCTTCAGGCAGGTCTGAGCTTGCTGTAGTTCGAACAGCATTCAGACGCTCTCTGCTCACAGCTGGCTCTATGGCCTTGGTGGGCAGCGATGCTCCAGCCAAACCTGCCCAGAGCTGGGCCGCTGCTGCTGCTTGCAGTGCAACACACGCCTCCCCGCTGGCTCCCGTGGCCTCCCCTAGGAAATGCTGCTGTCCTGTGACGGCTCACCTGGTTCTGCAGAGGGTCGGCACGTGGGCCACCGGCACGTGTCAGTGAGAGAGGGCCCGGTCCTAGAGAAGTGCATTCAGCTGCGTAGCGTGAGAGAGCAGGCAGGGAACTGTTTTGGGCCGGGGCTGCAGCCCCTGGCCTCCTGCACAGTCAGCAGTGTGGAGGGAGGAGCGGGGAGAGGAGAGGAAAGATTGTCACACCCAAATTACATGGTTCCTACAGTCA